CCCTCCTCTGACTCAGTGAAGTGCCTGCTCCAGGTGGAAACTGCGGCACTGGGTCCTCGTGCTCTTATTACTGGGATGACCAGAGCTGGTACCACCCCAGCTGGCCCCAGGCTCACTTTGCGGAAGGATGAGTGCGCCTCCCCTCCTGAGACAATTTAATGGTTTGCATGCGTCCAGTAAACGCTCAGGTTCACTGTAGATCATGGATGGCAGGTGGGGCCACGGCATGTAGTGACAGTGGCTGGAGCCTCACTCTGAGGTGCCCCATTGCTCCCATCCAGGTTCAGGGACCCCAGGACCCACAGCGTCCCCCGAGGGACTCTGCCCAGGCTCTGAGCTCCGACAGCAGACAGGCACTTCTCTGCCAGCAGTTTCCTACCTTGGACACCCAGAAATTAAAGATGGAGAAGAATCCAGGCCGGAAGGGCCACATCCCAGGGAGTGGAGATCCCAGGTGACAAGCCCAGACCCGTTCACCATCTGAACCTCAGCGTCAGCACAACACCAGGTACAGAAGAAGGGTTGATGGACCTTCGAGACTGTCTGCACAGGACCAGAGAGCAGCAGCCTCAACCATGGAGGCGTAGGCCTGCTGCCACGGGGCCTAACCGGAGAGAACCTGTCAGATCCAAGATCTCCCCAATAGAGTGCTTGGAGACGCTCAGGGGTCAGGTATCAGAACCCCGCCGAGAGAGACCCCCAAACTTCTTACTTGCAAATGGCGGCAACTCAGATGAGTGAGGGCTTCCACCTGGAGGCAGAGAACCAGGTCTGCCCCCAGAGGAGTGAGGCTTCTCATTTGCTGGCTACATTCTGTCTCTTCCACAGCCTGGTTCACAGGAGCCACACACACGCTTCCAGGCGTCCTGCCTCTTCCTGTTAGTAGGTCTCTGTCTCCATGTTGTCCTCACCGTTCTGTGGGAGGTTTTTCAACTCTGCAGGTGTGGAAGGTTAAATGACCTAACCAGGAACACAGGCCGTCAGTAAATGCATTTGAACTCGTCTGGGCCTCCAGTACCTGCTGTGACACCGCTTCACACTGCATTTCTCTTTTACCAAGGGAGTCTCTGCTAGATCAAAGGTGCTGAGAGGGCAAAGAGAAATCTCATTTCTTTGCTTCGTTGGTTCTGCCCTATTCATTAACCTCAGATATGGATATAATCGTGCATGGGTGTATTTATTTATTTTTTAAAATCCTCACCCGAGGATGTTTTCCCATTGATTTTCAGGAGAGTAGAAGACAGAGGGAAAGACAGAAAGAAACATTGATGTGAGAGAAACACATCGATTGGTTGCCTCCTGCACGAGCCTCAACCAGGGCAGTGAGGGTGGGGGAGGCGCCAAGGAAGGAGCCTGTAATCAAATATGTACCCTTGACTGGAGTCAAACCTGGGACCTTTGGTTCGCAGGCCGATGCCCTTTCCACTTAGCCAAACCAGCTAGGGCAGTGGTCGGCAAACTGCTGCTCTGCAAACTGCGGCTCACGAGCCACATGCGGCTCTTTGGCCCCTTGAGTGTGGCTCTTCCACAAAATACCGACTTCTGCGCATGGGCCACAAAGTTTCAATCACACTGTATGCGCGCGCCCACACGTGGTATTTTGTGGAAGAGCCACACTCAAGGGGCCAAAGAGCCGCATGTGGCTCTCAAGCTGCGGTTTGCTGACAACGGAGCTAGGGCCATGGGTGTATTTAAATGAACTTTAGCAAAGACTGATTTTTCCTGCCAGACCCTCACCACTCAATTATCTCAATAGCTTATATTTTCCTTTCCCTTGTTGGCTTCTGTCACTGGACTCAGTGCATATGTACAGAGTCTCTGAGTACAGACAGTCTGAAAAGAGCAAAATAAAAATAGCCAATTGGTCGATAATTGAATGGGAAAGTGCCAAGGGGACAGCACTGGTCCTAAAGCCAGCTGGGAAGAGGTGAGGTGGGGTGGGCGGTAGCCACCCTGAGAGCTGGGCTTGCTCTGAGGTAAGCCCATGCAGGTGGCTCCTCCTGGCCGGGCAGATGGCAGGAACAGTGGGTCAAGGGTCCTGCTTTCTGCTTTTATTCTGTGTTGGCCAGTGCCCATCCTGAGGCTCCTGTTCCTGAAAACCTGACACTCACTGTGGAATATAAAGTGAGACACCGAGGTGCATGGGACTGCTCCACACTGGCCAATATGCACGCCCTCTGCCATCAATTAATTGAATCAGGACTCCACTATCAGGACACCTCTCATAGCCTGTAGGACTGTTTAGACCAGGGGTGGGCAAACTTTTTGACTCGAGGGCCACAATGGGTTCTTAAACTGGACCGGAGGGCTGGAACAAAAGCATGGATGGAGTGTTTGTGTGAACTAATATAAATTCAAAGTAAACATCATTACATAAAAGGGTACGGTCTTTTTTTTTTTTTTTTAGTTTTATTCATTTCAAACGGGCCAGATCCGGCCCGCGGGCCGTAGTTTGCCCACGGCTGGTTTAGACTCTTTCAGGCTGGTATTGATTGTTGCTTTTTTTGGCAAATAGTATACTAAAACAAAAATAAACACAGGATTTGTGCAGGCACAGAGGAAAGTGGATTCTGTGTCTCCAGGGCTGCGAAAAAAACTTGCTCTGAGACCCAGTGGGCAAATTGGCACCCGATGCTCCCTTCAGTGCACTTCTGCAGTTATTATAAGGATGTTTGTCTGTCTCCTTCTCCCTGATAGGGCAGAAGCCACTCTCTTCCCCATACTCCTTGAGTGCTCAATTCATAGTTGCCAGCTGCTACCAAGGCAGGGCTGTCCAGGAAGCAGTCATTTAGGGCTAGGCCAGGCCTGGTGCCCGCCTCTCAGCTCCAGTTTCCACATGCAGCTGCCCCAGCTGGCCAGTCACCACCCCAATTTGGGGTTATGGGCTTGGTCCTGGAAGGACAGGCAACAACAACAACTACACAGGCAAAGAACCTTCCAGTGCTGGGTGCCTAGGCCAGGTGTTCCTACCCTTAGTGGAGTGGCTCTGCATGATCATTTAACCCTCATTTCATTTAACCCTCATTTCACAGATGTAGAAACTGGGGCTGAGAGACATCAGCTTGCCTTACCAAAGTTACACAAGTCTGCTGTTCAGATGATGGTTTGGAAGGACCCAACTTTGTGCCTAGACTCAAGCTCTTCATGTGTAATACGGAAATAATGACATCACCCCTTAGGTAAGAATGTTATATATATGATTACTTGTTTATTGCTTGTTTTCTACTCTAACTGTAAACTCCAGTGGGCAGGGACTTTGGCTTATTCATGCTATGTTATCAGAGCCTAGAACAGGGGTGGGCAATCCCTGGCACGCGTGCCAAACATGGCATGCCAGTAACTTTTGCTGGCACACGAGACCCTCTCTTATAATCTTCCATTTACAATTGTGAATCTTTGTTCTCAGTGATGAATTTTGTTAAGTCTGGTAATAGGAGTAGCCTGATGGATGAAAGTAGTAGCTCGTGCATATCTCTGAAGGTCACGAAATATAAACCTGATGTAAAATCTCTGTCATCAGTGATGCAGCAGCAAAAGTCCCACTGATAATATCAAACGGAGTCATAAAGTTTTCTGTCGGACTATCAGTGTACATGTATACATTAAAAAATAAATGTATTTTTCATCATCATATACTGTGTTTTTGTCGCTCGAATGAATTTTATTATTTCTTCAAGGTTCTTCACATACGTACACCTTAAGAGATAGCAAGTAGGCATAACATGTTCTCAAAAAATTAGGGTTGGCACGCAGAATTTTGAGTCAGAGATTTTGCTGGTTTTGGCACGCACTCACAAAAAGGTTGCCCACCCTTCGCCTAGAACTAGTGCCTGGCACAGAACAAGTGCCTGGCACACCGTAGATGCTCCATGCTTGTGTTATAAATGGTAATGACGTGAAATCAGCCCAGGCCAGATGCTGGCCCTTCTATCTGCAGGCACATTCTATAGCCCAGCGGTTCTCAATCTGTGCGTGGCGACCCCTGTGGGGGTCGAACGACCCTTTCACAGGGGTCACCTAAAACCATCGGAAAACACATATATAATTACATATTGTTTTTGTGATTAATCACTATGCTTTAATTATGTTCCATTTGTAACAATGAAATTGGGGGTCACCACAACATGAGGAACTGTATTAAAGGGTCGGCATTAGGAAGGTTGAGAACCACTGCTATAGTCTCATTTCCTGACTTCCCCTCCACCCGGGGCAGCCACAGACCGAAGGAAGCCTGGAGCTGGGGCTGGGGCAAAGTACCGCTGACCTTAGGGGAAGGTCAGCGAAGCCCTGGAGTGCGAGGCCAGAACAGTTTGCAAGAGGCTGACTGCAGGGCCCTGGTCTCGACTTCTCCAGGCTTAAGCCCTCTGGTTCCCCTTTTCTTTTTTTCTGGGCAGAGCACAGCGCGGTGCGGTTCCGCAGAGAAGACCCCGGCAAGAGCTGTCGAGTTCTGGGGAAGGGGCAGGGGCAGGGGCAGGGGAGGCGGACCGGCAGACGCCAAGCCCCGCCGGCCGCGGAGTAAGGAGGTGCTGCCAAGAGAGCAGATCGCAGCCGAGGTGGCCGGGTGCCGCGCGGATGCCGCTCGCACGTAGGGGGCAGGGGAGGCGGGCAGAGGGGAAGTGGGAGGGGTGGGAGGTTGAGGTGGGGGGCACTTGTTAAAGTCTGGAGGAAAGCCTGAGGGGTTGAGAGCGGGGCGTGGCCCGCGCGCGGCTCCCGCGCTCCGGCTCCGCTCCAACTCGAGCGCCGATCTCTTAAGCGTGGGGCGCCGAGGCGCGCTCCGGGGGCGGGGACTCCCATGCAAATGAGAGGCGTGGGCCGGCGGGCGGAGCGGGCGGGGCGCTGGCCTGAC